TCCCAGAGCAGAAAAGGCCCCTCTCCTGGGTCCCACCGCAGGACTACAACATCCCTCTTCTGCAAGAGCTGATGGGGTCGGGAGATATCAGATAGAACATAGAATTATAGAGCTGGAAGGGACTTTGGAGGTCTTCTAGTCCAACCCCTGCTCAAGCAGGAGACCCTGTATCATTTCAGACATGGTCATCCAGTCTCTTTTTGAAAGCCTCCAGTGATGGAGAACCCACAACTTCTGAAGGCCAGCTGTTCCATGGGTTGATTGCTTTCACAGTTAAGACCATTTCTCCTTAGTTCTAGGTTGCTTCTCTCCTTGGATAGTTTCCATCCATTCTTTCTTGTCTTGTCTTTTGGTGCTTTGAAAAATAGTTTAAACCCACCCGCCCCCATCTCTGTAGGAGCCCCTCGAATATTGGAGCACTGCTATCATCTCCCCCTACCAGTCCTTCTTTTCATTAAACTAGACATATTCAATTCCTATAATATTCGTATGTTTTAGCCTCCAGCTCCCTAATCATTCTTGTTGCTCTTCTCTACACTCTTTCCAGAGTCTGAACATCTTTTTTATATTGTGGTGACCAGAACTGGTTGCAATATTCCAGGCTTGGTCTTTCTGAGGCTTTATAAAGCTGTACTAGAATTTCACGCAATCTTTATTCTATTAATGCAACATAGGATTGCATTGGCTTTTTTGACAGTGGCTGCACACTGCTGGCTCATATTTAGGTGATGGTCCACTAGGACAGGGGTCCCCAACCACCAGGCCCCGGACCGATACCGGTCCGTAGATCATTTTGTACCGGGCCGCAAAGAATGAATAATCTTGATTAAAATATATATAAAAATGTTTTTGCTTCCGGGTGTCTTATTTTGAAAGACAACCACTTCCGCCCTCGCCTAACTTCCGCGCTTGACTCTTTGGCGCGTATTTATCCTGCATCAGCAATGCAAGCTAGCCCTCGCAAAATGAGCCAGAAACAGAGTTCATTGGAGAGTTTTTTTGGAAAGGGTAAATGAGACAACGATGAGACAGCAGAAGGCTCCCGCTGATTCTACATTTTGGTGAGTTGATATTATAGTGTAACAGTTCATGAAAGTGCCTAATATAAAATGTAATTGTTGCATTCAGATCACATACTAAATATAATGATTAAGGTTTTTGTTATTGGAACCTTCACGCCCCTACCCAGTCCTTGAAAAAGTGTTTCTGCGTGAAACTGGTCCCTGGTACAAAAGAGGTTGGGGACCACTGCACTAGGACTCCAAGATCCCTCTCGCAGTTACTGTGTTCAAGTCTGTCAGGATCTTTTTGGATCCTGAGCTTGTCTTCTGGGATGTTGGCTATAGCTACCAGCTTGATGTCGTCTGCAAATTTGATGAGTTCCCCTTCTATTCCCTCATCTAAGTCATTTATGAAAACATTGAAGAGTACCAGGCCTAAAGTTTGGAGTATCCCAGTGCTCACTTCCCTCCATGTTGATGTTCCTTTGAGAAGCACAGGTTGAGTATGATTTGTCACCCATATGTTGGGACTGCTGCCTACCCCGCATTTTTCTGTATTTTATATATATTCCTTTTATTTTCAGGTAATAGAAATGTCTCTAGGAATGCCAACCAAAGGAAAGCCTTGCCTGCAAAGCATGTTTTTTCAAAGAGAAGCTTAACAAGAGTCATCCACAGTTGGTTCAAGGTCCAAGAGCCAACTTAGGGTTATCAGCAGGTTGAAGGGCGTAAGGTTCAAGAGAGAACTTCACGCACACCTGAGCTAAATGTGGCTTCCAGCAGAGAGAACAGAGCCAGCCCAGCCTCTTCTAGAGGCTGCAGCCAACTGTCACTCATTGGAATGATTACTCTGTTGCTAGGCAATGACCAATAGGATCTCTGTTCTGTTCTCCTTTTGATTGATAAATTTTAGTTTCTTTTCTTTCTTTTTTTTGTGCCTAACTTATATGTCAATCATTTTCCCAGCACAGTTGGAAATTCAATTCTTTTTCTTTTCTTCATAATTTATCTTTATTTCCATTTCTCTTACTGATAACACATGCACTATTTATCAGTTAACTAATTAATTATCTATTTACTTTCATAGATAACTGCCTCTATGGAAGTTTAATTTGGTGGGTAATAGTTGTCCTGTTTGGGAATTTTTAAACCTTCCTTTTTAAAAAAAATCTCACCCAAAATCACTTGTGTTTTCTTGCCTTTTCTCTTTAAATTTACTTTATGTTAAATTATCCTTTTTATAAAAGCTTTGCATGTATCCTAAACTGTTCTTCCACCCAGTCCTCTTACATTTAGTACCGCAATGGAGACTGGAAAAGTTGTCATTAAGCAGTGTGGTCATTAAGTGAAACTTCACGTGAGCACATGGGGTGAATCCCTGGTCGTTAAGCGAGACATCACGACTATGACTTTCTCTGCCGGCTTCCCCATTGACTTTGCTAGTCAGAAGCTGGAAGGGAAAGTCACAAATGGCCATTGTGTGAACTCAGGACCACCATTATACTTGTGTGACAGTTGCCCAGCACCTGAATCACAATGATGTGACAGTGGGGACTTTGTGATGGTTGTAAGTGCGAGGACCGCTCAGTGTTTTCAACGTTGCCATAATGTGGAACAGTCGCCAAGCGAGTGATGGGAAATTGAACACTGTCTGGAGTTCCCTGCCTTTACAAGTAGTCCTTGAGTTAATGACCATCCGTTTAATGACCAAAGTTGCAGCTCAGCTGAAAAAAGTGACTTATGACGGGGTCCTTGCACTTGTGACCTCTGGACCATCCTTGCGGTCAGGGGAATCACCATTTGTAACCTTCCCAGGGGGACCTCCTGTCAGCTGGTGCTCCGTTCAAAATCCAGGAAAGAAATACTTAGACTCTTGTAATTAGAGAAAAGATGTCTTTTACTGGAAGTCAGTGGTAGCAACAAGAAAATTCTGAATCTGGGTAAATAGGCACGCACATCACATATATCAAGGGAGTGAAATGTTCCCACCCCCAACAGTTCAAACGGTTCTTCCAATTAAAAGTTGTGAACTACATCATGCGGACATCTCCAGGTGGTGATGATTAGTTGACCTTGGCTTACTCAGATAAAGGTTTGCAGTTGCGCAGAGAAGAGAAAGCTAAGCAGGAATGAGAAACCCTCCCCAGTTTATACAATATTAGTTAGCAACATTTGCAGCTTACATCCCATACATTTCCCCCTTCCACCCCCCGTTACTCATGGCAGCCAGAAAGAAGCAAAGGAAAGGAGGAAGATCTTGAAGGCTGACACCTCCAGCAAGGAAACTCAACGGGGAAAGCAGGTTACAGTGGATGTAAAAAGTCTACCCACCCCTCTTAAAATGCCAGGTTTTTAAAATGTAAGGAAATCCGACCAAGATCAACCAGTTCAGAACTTTTCCCACATTTAATATAGCATATAAGTTGTACAATTTAGTTGAAAAACAAACTGAAATACTTTAAGGGGGGAAATAACAAGAAGAAGCACACAATAATGCTGTTGAGCTGTATATGGACATCCAACATAAATCCATCCCACAAGAAACGTCCATTTGGTATTTGGCAAAGCTCCGTTTTTATTTTTATTTTTAGTACAACAAGAGAGACAACTCGCAAGCCTGTCACAAGATGGTCTCTACTAAGGAAGATTTTCTCTCTTTTTCAAGAGCTCTGTTCCTTTGGAAAAGGCAGGTGTAGACTTCACGAAGGAGGGGTGGGCGCTGCTGGATCCCAGCCAGAAGGCCTTGCGCAGGGAAGGAGGTTTTTAGGAATATGGCCGCTCTGGGTAAGGCCCCTCCTTGCTCTGGATCCATTTATCGGGAAAGGGGTTTTCAAGTGGGAGGTAAACAGTTAAGATCCCTTCACTCATTTGCTTCAGATGGTCAGGACTGCCTAGCACAATTGTCCCAAACTATCCAAATAGATTCTGGTGGAACCAGACCCAGAGGGAGCACAACCTTCAGAGGGCTCCAGAGTCTCTTTTCCCAATCAGTTCATACATGGAGAGCCTTGTGGTGGCAGATCCAGAGGAGATCCAGCTGGCACCCACCAATGCTCCTTCCTTCTTGAAAGGGCATATTGGCATGAATCAATCTAACCTTTGCTCTTTGCATCTGTTAAAAGAAGTTGCTTCGACTATTTTGCTAGGGATGGGAATCGTTTGTTAGGAATTCGTTCTGTAAGAGAATCGTAACCTTTTCTATCTGGTTTCTCGCCTCTGCAATTTGCTTCAGAGTTAGGCACATCCTTGGAGACAATTCCCATGAACATCTTGCTTCATAGATAAGAGGAGGCTGCCCAGGAGCAGAAACACACAAGGACAAGGGATACTGTGTAAAATAACCAAGTATGGACAGAGCACGGACAAAGAACGCTCCATGGATAAGGAAGGGGAAGGCATGGGCAAGACATTGCCCACATTAATAAGGAACCTTTGTCTCCGATTGGATAAACTTAGTTTCTATCAGCGTACAATGTATATAATACTCTGAGCCATTCTCACAAGGGGTGGCTGTTCCTTACATGCATTTTGTCTGTAGGTTTTGGACATAGTATTCACCCAGACTTTTTGCTTTGGCCAAAGAATTAAAAAAGCTGTTATTTTTGCAGGCCTCATCTCGAGTCTTCCTCTTTGGCATCTCTGTGGCTTGGGGAAACTTCTGGGATCCTACATTCTCAAAATGGCTCCTTCTGACCACGGGATGGCCAAGACTTTCCTTTCCACCTTCTTGGGAAACAAAGCAGCTTCTCAGCCAGAGGGAACTTCCACCCAGCTGGGTCTTCTCACCTTCTTGAGGGTTCCTTGTCCCAGATGTTTCTCCTGGGGGTCTCCACTTCCCTGACTGACATGAAAAGGTGCTCTCCTTCCACAACTTAAATCTTGAAGAGGAAGATAGTAGGATTCTTCCTGGATTTCTTTTGTGTTTGGACACACATACATCTCAACTGATGCTGCCCCTGAGTCCCACTCTGCATTGGAGGTATCTTGTAATAGGGACAATCATACATTTCCTGCTGCTCTGTAGCCTTTTCGATGCCCGTCTGCAAGGACAAAAACCAGTCAAAGCTTGAAAGAACCCACCAGAGTTCATCCAACCTCTCCCTCTGTATGCAGAAGAGATCCCAAGAGAGACTTTCACCCCTGTTTAGCCACAACCCCTCCCGGTCGCTCCTATGAACAGTCACAGGAAGATCTTCAGACTTCACCACCTGATTTGCCCCAAGAGAGACCTGCTGCCTCCGAGATGGATGGAGGGGAATTGGGGGAAGCAGCAGCAACAGCAGCTGGGAGGGGAGGAAGATTTTCATGGAAATCCTTCTCTGCTGCTCTTTGACCAAATTCTTCGAAAAGGACAGAACTGGGAAGCCTCTTCCCAACTCAGGAGAAGACAGGACTGCCTGAATCTCAGACTCAGCTGAATGGAGACGGGAGTCCCAGCGAGAGGCTGAGATCTCAGAGGGCTACGAAAACAGGACAGAAGGAAGCCCAGAAGAAGCTCCCCAAAGGGGGTCCTTCCATCACCCCCCCCCCCCGCAAAAAACAGATACTTACTATAAAATTTCACGATCCCAAGAATCACACACACCAGGGCAAGACCACCACCAAAAATGCAGCCGATGATGAGCCCCAGATTGGGCGTTGAATTGGCTGGTTCTGAATTGGGAGAAAGAGCAGATCATTAAAGGAGAAGCCCAAACAATCTTCCCAATCAGGGAAGAGACCTAAAGAAGTGATAGCTAGAAGTACCCAAAATTAAAATATCCATGAGCTCATTTTTGTGTCCCTCTCAAGGTAACATGAAGGAGCCTTGCTAACCATTGTTAGAGGACGTGTCCTCCTGACGCTGCCTTCTTCTCCCACCAGCCCAGCATGAAGGCAGCTGGATTCATCTTTGGCTTTTCGACTCAAAAGCAGCCCTTTGCCACCTTGTGACTCTCAGCAGCTTACAAAACGAAAACATCCCCAACACAATAATGTAAACAAGTCTTTTTGTTAAGTACACACTTTCATTTCTTTGGCCAGTCCAGAAATAGCATAAAATTGTATTTTGTGCTTCCAGAACTTCAGCATGAAAATGGAATACGGTGATATCCAGCTTCTGGATGGACCCACAAATGGCAGAAATAGAATAGCGGAATAACAAAGTTGGAGGGGACCTGGAGGTCTTCCAGTCTGACCCCCTGCTCAAACAAGAGGCCCTAAACCATTCCAGACAAGTGACTCTCCAGTCTCCTCTTAAATGCTTCCAGTGATGGAGGAACCACAACATCTGAAGGGAAGCCATTCCTCTCATTAATTGTCCTCCCTGTCAGGAAATTTCTCCTCAGTTCTAGGTTGCTTCTCTCCTTGTTTAGTTTCCACCCATGGCTTCTTGTCCTGCCCTCAGGTGCTTTGGAGAATAGCTTGACTGCCTCTTCTTTGCGGCAGCCCCTGAGATATTGGAACGTATCATGTCACCCCCAGTCCTTCTTTTCATTCAACTAGAAATGCCCAATTCCTGCAACTGCTCTTCATAGATTTTAGCCTCCAGGCTCCTAATCATCTTTGTTGCCCTTCTCTGCACTTTTTCCAGAGTCTCAACATCTTTTCTATATCGTGGCAACCAAAACTGGATGAAGAATTCCACGGATGGTCTTACCAAGGCATTATAAATTGGTATTGCTTTGGGGGGTGGGGGGAAGGAGATTTGAGGAGGGAACTTTAAATTTAAATTTCTCTTGCACAAAATTCAGGATTCCCATTGAATAGCAATCATTCCACTTGTGAATTTGGTGCTTGCTATAAACAACAACAATAAAAGAAATATTTTATTTTGCCTGGGATATCAGCATAATAATTACATTTGAATATTTCTTTTATCTTGGTGACAAACTTCAATAAAAAAATTGAATTTGAATTTTGCCACTTTGGAAGTCCAGTGTACGTTAAGGAGACTTCTGAGCATATACAGAACTCTTTGAAAGAGGGCTTTTTTCCCTTGGGTTTTATGCTGAGCCTCAGAAATTCACATATCCGATCATAAAATAAGGTGCAACTTCTTTCTTAGAGAAGCAACACACAGTGACCTTTTGACCTTTAAAGCAGGAAACCCTGTTAGTCTCTGATGGGAAATAAAACTCAGACTTCTTAGCCTCTTTTCTGACTCCTGATGCATCAGTCCAGCTACTCTCTGCATTTCCTGAAGTCGGCTGCACTTCATCCATTTTAGTCAAAATTTAACCTTTAGAAAAGGGGCAACCAGACTCCTCCTGATTCTTGTACTTTAGGAATTGTGAACAAAAGGAAATCTATTTCTGGTGCTGGGGGCAAGAAACGGGGAAGGCCTAAGAGAGGATCTGAGGGCATTTCATCAGGATCGGCCAACTCTTGTGATGGGATTCTGTACTTTCCATCCCCTGAAGTCAGTTCTATGCTCTGGTCCCTGCAGCTGCACCAACCTCAAACACTGGAAAAACCAATGGATGAAAGCTCAGGTATGCTCACACCTGGACACACCTGGGGCCAGATTCCTCTCCCACCACCTCCCAGCCTGCCAAAGAGCCCAGCCTTCCCCTCCCTGCAGCCTCTCACCTTCCAGGGCCAGGTCCAGAGGCTCCTGCAGGCTGTCGTGCTGCACGTGGCACCGATAGCGGCTCCTCTCTTTGGGGTCGATCCGGATGCTGAGCCAGTAGTGGTAGGTCCCATCCGCGTTGGGGGCCACAGACTTATGGAGGGTGTCCTGCAGCCAGACCTCCCCGTCCCTCGTCCAGAAGGCATCGATCTCCCTGGGGTAGAAGCCGTGGACCTGGCAGATGTGCGTCTCCATCCCATCCTCCACCTCTGTCTTGTCTCTGTCCAGCGTCACGTCTGGGGGCTCTGCAGAAACGGCACCCCCAGAATTAACTCTCAGCCGCTCCAGAGCTTGGAAGGGGGGTGAGAAACTTAGAGAGGAAGGAAAATCTCCCAGCACTTAATTGATTCCCCCATTGATCCTAATCTCAACCAGCTGATCCTGGAGGGATCAAAGAGCCAAGAGGGGGAGGGGTGGTCTAGATGGTGAATTAATAACAAATCACAGGAAAAGGTTATAATGTGACCCCCTGTGGGGTGAGGGGGTCTTCCTGAAGGTGGGGAGGGGGCCATTTTGAGGAAAGAGTCACTAAGTCAGAATTGAGGGAACCTGTTTGAGGTTTAAGAGAAAGATCTACACAAACTATGGGGGATCCCCCCACCCTGGAAAGAGAACCCCTCATCCATGGGCTTCTTTGCCCAAGTGGGGGCTCTGATGATGTCTCAGGAAGGGCAGAAGAGGAGCCCCCACAGTGGTGGCCATGGGAGGTGCCCCAATCAGGTGCAAGACTGGGAGGGAGCCCCCTGTGGGATGTGGTGGGGAAGGAGAGTTCAGGGGGGGAAATTAAGGGAGACCATCCCTCTTGACTACAGTTTGGCTAATGGGGGTTTCACTGAATAGCCCCAAATGGTGGCCTCATGGTGGGCAGTGAACAAGACACCCTGAAGGGCTTTTCCTGCCAGGGAGAGGCTGCATTTCCTGGTCCACTGAATGGCTGCCTGGCAATGGGAACCAAACAGGGCTTCCCGTGTCCTGCAAGAGGGGCTGGAAGGGGAGGAGGAGGATTCCCACCAGGGCAAACAGGCTCCAGACAAGGGACCCAAAGGGGCTGAAGGTGTCAGAGAAATCCAGCCATAAAGGAGGAAAGTCCAGCCTGGATCCAGATGCTCACCTGTTCTCAGCAGCGTCTCTTTCCCATAGGACAGGTACTTCCTTATCCAGTCAATGCATTCCTTCTCCAGGTAGGACTTAAAGTACTGATTCCATGCGGGAAGAGCATCCCATTTCCTCTGGGTGATCTGGGCCTGGGGGTCAGGAGCCACCCAGGTGAGGGTCTCCTTGTCGAAGGTGAGGAAGGTCCTCCCTTCGTAGCCAAACTGCATAAACCCTCCTTTGCTCCCGTCTTTCCGGAGTTCACAGCCATACATCTGCTGCCATGTGTGAAGGCCTAAAAGACAGACAGGGGGATGGTTCAGGGGTCACCGTCAAGATAGGCAGAGACCCTCCCTCCCTGCAGGGACCTTGACACAGGCACTGACACCTCCATTTCCTCCCTAGAGTTCAAGGGAAAGAAAGCCCCCATCACTAGCCGCCCTTCTCCCCTCCCTCGACCTCCCTCCCTGCATTTCCCCCCCAGGATGGAGCCCCTGAACCTCCCCAGGAAAAAGGAGAAGCTGGAAAAGACAGCAGAGGATCCCAAGGGAGACCCAGAAAAGGGGGAGTCACAGAATAAACGGAGGGA